TCCAGCAATGCAAATAGTGTATAAGTTTATTTATTTTACGGAGACACTTGCTGCAGCCATACAGCTTGTTTACGGATGAATTTAAGACTAAAATGTTAGATAATGTTTTTCTGACAGGGAGTGGTTTTAGAACAGTTACTAGTTGTCACATTAGGCTCTACACCAGACTTGTTGCTGTTTTTACTGGTTGAACGAGCATTTCCTGATTTGGATACTTTAGAAACGTCGTTTTTAGGCTGGAAAACGGTTCATCAAATGATCCTGATCAGCACATTCTTGTTGGTGAAGATGCGGAAAAGTTTCGACGGCGATCAGCTTCTAAATATGTTTCTCAGTTGTGTTCACCTCGTTTCACCGACCGCAGGGGACGTTTTGGAACGGCTTATAGACCGCCACCCATTTTAAGCCCTAATAGAGCTGGTAGAGGGCTTTACTGCAATTTGAAAACCAGAACTAATCGGCCTGAACTTGACGAGGTTTTTTTTTAATTTGGTCTCTTTCTTTTATTGACTTAGGCAAAATGTTTTGTTTATACTGTTAAATAGTAATATGCTTAAATTACATTTGAAACGCTTGTAATTACAGTTTGAAGTTAGAAAAAGAGAGTCATATGAGTTACAAGTTTCTCATAATAATTTGCGATCTTTTAGGTTCATCCGTCAACTTCTAAACTTTCTAGCGCATCTGATAGCCTCGCTATTGATGGTTAGTTTCGAGCCTTAACTTCACGGTTTTTCTGTTACTTCATGCTTTTCGCATTTCACACATAAATATTATAGAGCAAATATTAAGCTTAAATTTTTCAAATAGTTTTGGGTGTTTAATCTTCTGATTTTTTCTTGTTGCTGAAACTTGTGCTTTTGAACTATTAATTTTTTTTCTAAAAGCCTATTAATCATTTTAGAAAGCCTGCATTTCAATTTTTAGCATCGAAGGAAAGCTCTGTGCGCTTTAACGGGTTGGTAGCAAAACTAGAGGATGACGATGGACCAAGTGCAAAACGTTTTCGTATAGAATACGAAAAAATTTCTTTAGATGAAGAGCTCAAAAAACCTTTGCGGAAGAAAGGATTTAGTTATTCGCCTGGCAGTTTTGTAAGTAGTTCGGATTTTCGTTTCACATATTTTAGTGTATTAAGTTGCTGTGTTAGATATCAGTGAAATTGTTTTGGCATTAAATAAGCAATGTAAAATACGATATGCCTTCAAATTTTTTTGACGTTTACTTTGTCACGAGGATGGGTTCTGCGTAAATGATTGATTATTGGCTTGATAGGAAATGGATTTTATCATTTTGTCCCACTTGTCGTTCTTCACGTGTGTTAGAATATCAGTAGGAGATTCAGTAAAGTTTTTCCGTTAAAAGTGACCTAAATTTTTCTAAAGTACTTGGCTGCACTGCACTCAAGAGGGTTTTAGATAATTGTTTTTTGGGCTAGTTAGAGACTGAAAGTTAACTAAGTTTGGCTTTGGCTTCGGATTTGACCGTCTGGGATAAGTGCTAGATTTGTTATTGTGTGGTGGAAAGAAGAAGTACTTACAGCCTGACTTCAAAGCGGAATTACAGCGTGCATTGGAAGAATCGAGTTGTTCACCGAAGAGTAGTGTCAGTTCCTTGTCGTCTGGTTGCGAAACGCCACTTACTTACACTTTCGATGGGTATGTTTTCATTGTAGTGATCATGTGTTGTCTGGTCTTTATTACTGTTTGTGTGGTTATTTTTGTGATTATTTATACTTGTCTGGAGAAGAGTTATTGAGTGGATGAGTGGATGACTAGTTTTAAAGGAAACTGTAACACGACTGCATCAGACTACCGGTATTATTAATTGCTTACACTTGATATATGGGAATAAAAGTTCTTGCTACTGACAGGTTTGTTTAACCTTTTCAAGGTCTAACTAACTGTCATTATTAATGGAGACGTTTAAGGCAAGCTGGAGCAGTTGACGAGATTGAAATGCGTTATACGCACAAAAAGGCAAATGGGCATAGCGAGAACTTCTTTATCTCAGATATTCCGTAAGTAGATTTTTATAAACATCATTAACTTTTTTATTTGAATTTTTCACATTTTTTGTGATTGTTAACGCTGTTTTTTTCTTTTTTTTTTTCGGGCGGAGTAGGGGAGACGCACGACTGTTTCATAACCGCTGTTGGTTCATTCTAAAAGCAGTTTTTGCTGTCTTGAACAAACTTCATAAGCCTGGTTCTATATATTTGTTTGTTACTCACATAAATATTCGTGAATTTTTGTTTTTAGAAGAATCAATCGAGGGGAAAGGTACCAAGCAGTTGTTAGCAAATGGGTTGAACGCGAAATTACAGAGGAGGAACTGGATGAAATACCAGATAGAGATGAGAAAGTTTTTGACTGCAATTTAATTGCACATTTGGATCCTCAAGCAGGTTATTACGGAACTGTTTAAATTAAGCATATTTCTGCGAATTAGTTAATTCTTTTATTCATTTTCACGAATAAAATTGGCGATTTGCAGTTGCTGCATTTGAATTATTAGCGTGCAGCCAAGCTGTCCCAGTTCCTGGAAGAAATAAAGAGTTGGCTTTACATTTGCTTATGTCTAATAAGGTATATTTATGCGACAATTTTAAGGCTGTCATTCGCTTTAAAGACTTATGTATACATGTACATTTTGAACCTTAGATAGTATGTTTAGGGTAATCTCACCGAAGCTGTTGCTGATTTAATGAAAGCGGACGCATTGAATTGGGAGCATACTCCTGTTGTTCACCACAGCGGTTACAACGACTCTGTGTTCTGGACACCATCAGAAATAGCTTTGTTTCAGGAAGCTATATATAAATCAGAAAAGGATTTTACTGAAGTGGCAAGGAAGGTAAATGATGTTATGACATTCAAATGCTTTTCGCCAATACTATTGTTTTTTTGGAGCTCGGGGTTTCGGGACAAGAGAATCTTTTCTTATTTAACTAAGAAGCATAAGTTTTTTAAATTCGTTTTTGAAAGTTTTGATTTTGTTTATTTACTGCACTTTCGTTCATTCACTGTATGCACTAAAGTGTATAGGGAACCTGTTTGGTGTAAAGTCTTTAAAAATTTTTGGTAGAGCAGTATATCAGTATTGACTTATTCAAATTATTTTTGTTAAAGGTTCGTAAAACCGTTAAACAGTGCGTGGAATTTTTTTACATGTGGAAGAAAGCGTTTCCTGACGACTACAAAAAACTGAGCAATTTGGTGCGAAAAAGAAGATTGTTGACGCAGCAGGTTTGCCATGGTTTTCTGAATGGTTTTTTGAATAGACAGTGCTTGTTTGTATTAAATGTCTGAACTTTTTCATTTCAAGTGGTATCTTCAAAATTAGGAGCCTATTCCACATCCTGATACCAGGATTGTTTGAATGTCTCTTTTTTTTTCTGCTGTGTGCCGTTGAAGCACCGGCCATTTTTAGGGCTGTCACTTGCGTTCGTCGGCACAGAAAGAGAAAAGCCAGAACGATGATGGATCCGAATCAGAAAGTGATCTTAGTTCAGTTGTTGTTGATGAAAGAGCTAGATATGGAGATGAATCTTGGTTAGTTATCACGTATAAGTCTTTTTGGGGCATTTGCAAGTGGTTGTAGCATTTTTGCTTCTGTAGCATTTTGCATGGCAGTAGCTTTTTTTACAGTGCACAACTTTCGGTGCATTTGATGAACAATAATGCTGTTGACGACCAGAAGATTCCAACATCACAAGGCATTGATTCTGTCGATTTGGGAAGTTTAACTAGTGGTGAAACAATGCCGTGTTCGGCAAGGGAAACGACTCCAAATCTTAATTCTCCACTTGGATCTCGACTGCCTGCAACCGTATGTTGTAACTTCGTCTCACTGAGTTTTAGTGTTTTTCATTTGTTATTTTAGTCACATATTTTGTACACAACTGATTACTGATGCTTCAGATCCATCGAGCAACGATAAAGAAGGGCGCCCAACCTGCTTCGGATGGGTACTTCCATTGCAGATTATGTGACAAATTTTTTGAGAAGGTTAAAAAATTTTTGCTGGCTTGTTTTGGCAGTTTTGTCCTAACCAGGTCCTGTTTCTTTTCACTGGATTTTCATTTCAGGTCAAAAGTTTGAATGCGCACATGAAATCGCACGCTATGAAAGCTCGTGCCGAAGCAGAAGCACAAGCTCAAATGACTTTACAGTACAATAGTCCAGGGAGCGGGTCATCAAATATGCGAGAAAAACTAATTTCATCTAATGTAAATATGCAAAACGTTCCAAATACGACAAATCAATTGGGTCAGAACCAGTTGAATGTTGTAGCCCGAGCAGCTAATGCGTTGAGCCAAACCGGTGGACCATTTAGCGCTGTGAATGTGAATGCATTGAATCAGGCTGCCTTAGCCCAGGATATTTTTGTGCAGACCTCTTTAGCACAGGATTCTTTGGTTCATAGCACTTTGTTGCAAAGTCCGTTAAGCCATGCATCACTTGCTGCCCAAAGTGCACTAGGACAATCCGCTTTAGGGCAAGTTTCACAGAATGCGATAGGACAAGCCACTCAAGCTACCCTCGGTCAAGCTGCTCAGTCTGTGCTGGGACAAGCCACTCAGGGTGCTTTGAATTCAGCTGCTCAAACCGCATTAGGCCAGACCGCACTAAGCAGTGTTCTTGGTCAAGGCTTACCTATGGCACCAGCTGCTTTGCAGTTATTTAATTCTTTGCATCCAGCCATATCCCATTCAACTGTATGAATTTCTAGAAATGGGTTTTTCTTTCTCTTCTTTTCTGATTTTCGTTTGCTAAGGTCTCTGGATTGTTTTCATATTGGAATTTTTTTCGATCTCTTCTTCCAATTTATTGTGCTAGCAAAGGGTATTTCTAAAAAAAATTACTTATTTCAATGAAGCGCATCTTTTTTTTCCTTTTTTTTTGGCTTGCGTGTTAACAGTACTTTTTTCTGGCTATGAATATATAGTTCTGTTCAGTTTCTCTTCTGTTCTTATCTTTTCAAGAAGTGGACTAAGTCTTTTTAGATTAAGGTTATTGATTACCGGTCGGGAACTTGCCAGTTATACTGGTTTTCCATTTTTCTACTTTCTTCGTTTTCTTATTCAGCTTTCTTGTCGAGAATTATGCGTTTTTTTCAAATTTTCCCGGTGGTCATTAGGAGCATTGTTTTGAATGTATTATTGGAATTCATAAAAAGTACAGAAAACAAGCAAGCAAAAGAATGTAGAAATGATTCGTTTTTTTACGACGCTTTCCAAGGTAGTTGTCTTTAGGATTTCTGTGTCTATTCTACTTTGATAAAGAAAGTTATATTGTCTAAGCGTTTAGAGTTATCATGATGATATACAGTAGAAGTATAGGTTTGACTTTGCATTGATTTTAAAAGCAAGTTTTTTCTTTGCTTTTTTCCTGGCTGTATTAAGTTCATTTACATGTTTCTAAATTTTATTTTGTTGTCATCAGTGCTTCTCTTTCGATTTCAGTTTGCTTTTTCTTTTGAAATTTATATGTAATATTTTTTTTGTTATTTGAGCAGGTAAAATATCTGCAGTAATGACAACAACGAAAGTGATGAAAAAAAATAGGATATTCTACCTCATCGTTGTTACGGTAACCCTTGTTTTTCTTCTTTTACTTCCTCTCTCTTAGTCACTACTCCACCTTC